ATCCACCTGCCAGAAAATCATCTGGGGGAGCGCCAGGGAGACAGGGGATCACGATGATGCTGCTGCTGCTGCTGATGATGATGATAATGATGACCATGCTCCTGATCAGTATACTGCTGATGACACTGCTGCTGATAACTGATGATAATGCTGCAGCTACTGATGACACTGCTGCTGCTAACTGATGATAATGAATTAGGGTACTCCTGCTACTGATGACACTTTCTGCTACTGATGACACTGCTGCTGCTAACTGATGATAATGAATTAGGGTACTGCTGCTACTGATGACACTGCTGCAGCTACTGATGATAATGAATTAGGGTATTGCTGCTACTGATGACACTGCTGCTGCTACTGATGATAATGAATTAGGGTACTTCTGCTACTGATGATAATGCTGCTGCTGCTGCTACTGATGATGATAATGAATGAGAGTACTGCTGCTGCTACTGATGCTACTGCTACTGATGATGCTGCTGATGCTGCTGCCACTACTGATGATGATTAACGCGTAGGCTTTCGCGACCAAATTCATCCATAATACAGGTTTTTGTGGGTTAGATTGCGTAAATATAAATGTGTCGTTAAACCCGCCACCACCCGACACAGCCAACTAGTAAGGTTTGTCACGTAAACAGAACGTGCCAATTCGTTACTAGTACAGCACATCGGTGTTGTACCAACACACCTGTTGTTTCAACAGAAGATGTGCATCGGATAAATTGCACGTGTGGCAAATGTTGTGTTGGGCAGACAGGACGAATGATCAGCACGAGACTAAAAAAACACCAAATAAATATTAAACTCACAAATACAACTGTCAGCAGTAGCAGAACACGCGTGCCAACAAGGACACTCAATTGATTTTGATAATGTTGAAGTTCTGTGCAAAACTAGCTACTACTGGCCAAGACAAATTAGAGAATCCATCGAAATTGAAAAAAGTTAAAATAATTTTCACCGTTCGGATAGCTACAAACTTAGTGCTGCTTGGAAGCGAATCATCAAGTAATACATTTGTAGTGACAGAACGGTCACTACTGTGTTGGCCCGTACGAGGGCTGGGGGCCCCAAGGGGGTGCCTGGGGGGTCACGTGCTGGAGGGATCCGGACCTTCCCAGAGGTGGGGGAAGTGAGGCGTGGCCTGGGAAGTGAGGCGTGGCCTGGGAAGTGAGGCGTGGCCTGGGCGGAGCCGGCCACGCCAGAGAGACGAGATATAAGCGTGGTGTGAAGGCAGAGCAGGGCTGTTCCTGAGAAGAATGAAGACACCTCGTGAAGATGCCAGAAGAGTAACTGTTGAGTAAACGTTGTGTTAATTAATAAATGAGTGTTGCCTCCCAAGAAGTGTGTGCGCCTAAATTGAACCCATTACATTTGGTGTCAGAAGTTGTGGAAAAATAAATATTGCTAGGTGTTATCCTAGGGAAGTAAAATGGGCACACGAAAAACAAATACAAAACTCATCTGGACGTCTTCGTACGACGGGGATGGTGTGACGACCGTCCTTCGGACAGCCCCGGGGATGGCAGCCCCGGTGACAGAGAGAGAGAGAGAGATGGCGCTGCACGCGGAGCGGCGGGACTTGCATCGCACTGCTGCTTCGCCGCCATCGGGAACGGAGCGACGGAGCCGCGGCGAGAGGACACCATCGTCGCTGCGGTGGCTGGCGGGGGAGGCCCGGGCATGCGGGCCACGCGGTGGGCCCGCCATTTCGGCGGCTGGTCGGGGCGCGGTTCCCGCCAAAACGCCGTTCCCGCCATTTCGGCGGCTGGTCGGTGCGCTGTTCCCGCCAAAACGCCGTTCCCGCCATTTCGGCGGCTGGTCGGGGCGCTGTTCCCGCCAAAACACCGCTCCTGCTGCCGAAATGCCGCTCCCGCCGACATCAACGCCTGCAGAGGGGGAGTTCCAGCCTTCTGCTCGAGCGCGAGAGGTGGATGGGTTCGCAAGAGCAGGCCGTGTTCACCATCAAAGATTCTTCGGGCCGTTCCAGTGCTCCACCTTGCCGCCCTCCGCTATTCACAGTTTGCCAGGCGAGTTGTGACTTGACAAGCACCCGGCCCCAATAAAAATAATAATAATAACTTCACCCATCTTGCGTGTGCCGGGTTGCGATTGCGGGGTTTTTTTTACTCGCTGGGTTGCGGAACGTGTTCGTCCGGTTGTGTGCGTGAGAAATTGACGCGGCGACCAGTGTTTGTTGTTAATTACGGCGTCGAGATCGGTATCTTCTGGGGGTAGTTAATGATTAATTCGTTGTTGGTGTCCCGAGCTCCGTTGATATCCTGTATGTTGCCGTGTTAATGACTCGTGTTGTTACATCGTTGTGTTGCGAAATCGCCATTGTTATTGTGTATACTGTATGGAGTTTCGCTCGTGATTGTCACTTGTAACTGTCAGAAACTTTGATCGTCATTGTTGCCAATGTACAGACCATATGGAGCTTTGCTTGAAATTGTTAACAGTGTATGGAATGTTGGGTACTTGCTTGTGATTATTTACTATGTACGGATTGTCTGGAGTATTGATTGTGTGTGTTGCCATGTGGGGACTGGATGGAGCATTGTGCCAAATGATTGACTGTACGAACTTCGTATACTGCATATACTGTATTAATCAATTCGGCGATTCTTGGGGTTTGTGTATAGTTTTTTTGCTCTCAAAATTCGAATGCCCTGAGTCCCATGGTTAATGTTGAAGGGGATTTTGAAATGACAGGTTCGGTTTGTTTCAAACTCACTGGTTGGTTCCTGTCCGTTGTTGCACAGATGATATCTTTTGTGCGGGAATGCTCCTTGTGTTCTACATAGATCGGGGGTGCGTTTCCGTTAATTGCCGTCAAATTGCGTTGCTCTCTCCACTCGGTTGGTACAGCTGCATTGCTGCAATGCGAGTCTCGGAGATGATGTGTACGGATACGGGATGTGAGGTGTATTGTTGTGACCATTGAATATTCGGGATCGTCAAAAAAAAAAATTGTGCGTACCTGTTCGGCATTGGATCAGTTCTGTGGGGGATCATAATTCAAATTGTATGTGTTGTGATGGTGTTAAATTGCGATGGTGACATGCTGCCAGGGATTTGGAATTGTGGTGCTGGCTGTCACTTATCTTGGGGCGCAGATCCTGACCAGGATGGCCCAGTGAGTGTTGCGTGTCTAACATGAACGTTGTGGTCCCGTCATGCAATGGCTGACGGCTTGACCTGACAGCCCGGAGATTGAAACACTCCGTGGTATGTCTAGCCTAGTGGGCTGTGCGCTCACAGGGCTCGGAGAGTGTGGTCCCGTCATGCAATGGCTGACGGCTTGACCTGACAGCCCGGAGATTGAAACACTCCGTGGTATGTCTAGCCTAGTGGGCTGTGCGCTCACAGGGCTCGGAGAGTGTGGTCCCGTCATGCAATGGCTGACGGCTTGACCTGACAGCCCGGAGATTGAAACACTCCGTGGCATGTCTAGCCTAGTGGGCTGTGTGCTCACATGGCTCGGAGTGTGTGGTCCCGTCATGCAATGGCTGACGGCTTGACCTGACAGCCCGGAGAGCGAGACACTCTGTGGCTTGTCTAGCCTTGTGGGCTGTGCGCTCACATGGCTCAGGGAGGGTGGTCCCGTCCAGCAATGGCTGACGGCTTGACCTGACAGCCCAGAGATCGAGACACTCTGTGGCTTGTCTAGACTTGTGGGCTGTGCGCTCACATGGCTCAGGGAGGGTGGTCCCGTCATGCTATGGCTGACGGCTTGACCTGACGGCTCGGAGGTTGAGACCCTCTGAGGCGCGTTGAAACAGTGGGCTGGAGATTCGTAAAGTTCGGGTGGAGTTGGCCTGTTACGTTGAGACTGTTTCCCTCAGTTGTTAGGGTGCATGTTGTGCAGTGAGTGAACGATGGGTCGTCTCAGCTCGGTCGGTACAGCTATATGCTGCGATGCGAGTCTGGGAGAGAGACTGGGTCGTCTCAGCTCGGTCGGTACAGCTATATGCTGCGATGCGAGTCTTGGAGAGAGACTGGGTTAAAATCCCACCGATATGGCCGACGTGTGCTACTGGTTGTGACGCCGCGTCGGAAAGGCGGTGGGGTGGTAACATGGAAATTCCCCCCCCGATATGGCCGACGCGTGCTACTGGTTGTGACGCCACGTCGGAAAGGCGGTGGGGTGGTAACATGGAAATTCCCCCCCGATATGGCCGACGCGTGCTACTGGTTGTGACGCCACGTCGGAAAGGCGGGGGGGTGCTAACGGGTGACTGTCATTGCATGCGTGATTCTAACGGTGGGGGGGCTGTGATGGAGCGTAAGTGGGTTAGCCGGTTTTCATGTATATTTGTTGTTAATTCCCCGTTTTCTATGCGGTTCCCTTTTACCCTCGTCGATTCTGTATATATTACGTGATTGTATTTCTTATCGGTCGCCGGTCATTTATTGATGTTGCTGGTTCGGAGGCACACCTTTTCGATGTTCACAGTTGTGTTACAGCCGGGGACGGCTGTGTGTTTATACAGGGGGGGGTGATGTAGTGACAGAACGGTCACTACTGTGTTGGCCCGTACGAGGGCTGGGGGCCCCAAGGGGGTGCCTGGGGGGTCACGTGCTGGAGGGATCCGGACCTTCCCAGAGGTGGGGGAAGTGAGGCGTGGCCTGGGAAGTGAGGCGTGGCCTGGGAAGTGAGGCGTGGCCTGGGCGGAGCCGGCCACGCCAGAGAGACGAGATATAAGCGTGGTATGAAGGCAGAGCAGGGCTGTTCCTGAGAAGAATGAAGACACCTCGTGAAGATGCCAGAAGAGTAACTGTTGAGTAAACGTTGTGTTAATTAATAAATGAGTGTTGCCTCCCAAGAAGTGTGTGCGCCTAAATTGAACCCATTACACATTGTTGAAATGCATGCCTATACAGGTCACCATACGTCAAACTACAGGAGGTACAATAACAATGTGCATGCATATTGTTATTGGGGGAGGGGCCGGGTGGGATGGGGGGGCCGGGTGGGATGGGGGGGCTCTCAC